GACAGAAGCAATTGGGGATAATTTTAAATACTTCATGCTTCTGGGGAAAAATTGCTACAAATCATGCTAATCTAGCCAAATATTTAAGATATTAATCAACCGAAAGAGTCACTTAATCTTTGACCTGGACAGCTATCACAAGTAATTGTCGGGTTTTGACCGTAACCTGATTTATATGCATACAGGCTTACATCTTATCATCTCAATCAGAATCACTTTCGGGCTTATGCAATCCTGACGATGTTTTTCCTTGGGTCTTAAACCTTAATGACCTGGGCATGAAGTAAGGCTCTTTTGTAATTGTAGCGGGTATTGCATAATCTGAAGTAAATGCGCACGTATATTATCAAATGCACGCACACTCAAGCACAAGTACCCTGATTTATATGAAAAAGAGCTGATCAAATCCTTCTATACCTATCTATAGATATTCATGAAATTTCGTTTTAGTTGAGTATAAATATATTTTTATATATAGGATGTATGTAAGAGCCAGACAGTCTTCTTGACTTAAAGTTAACTTGAAGCAATGAACGAAAAAAAGAGTCCCAGAGCTCAGGAGGTTCATCAAATGAAGTATGAAAGCTCAGACCGTTTTGATTCGAAACGAAGATGTCTTGTGGACTGCATCAACCTGAACTTCGCAAAGCCAAACAGCGGCAAAATAATGGGAATCAGGTATCTTCTAACGGCGAAACCGACCTACAAATCGCTTCAGCTCGCAAGTTCATGCGAAATTGAAGTATCCATAACAATAAACCCAATTTATTTATTAATCCAAAATTAAGGACATAATATTTAATGGGACCAATCTAACATCAAATGCCCATAGAGGACTCCAGGTGTGGTAGTTCGAAAATGATACCTAAATGTCCAGAATAAAAATAAAAATATTCATTAATAAAAACATCATAATAAATAGTAACAATATTTTAAACGCCTTTTGTTCCTCCCTACTGGAGACTATTAAATCTCTCCCCCTTAATTTGAATTACCTGCATTTGTGGTATCATATCCTATGGATGGCGGAATTGGCTCGTAATTCGGCCCATTAAATCCACTCGAGGTCAGCTGTTCCCAAGCTGCCTGTGGCATGCCTAGATGCGGTTCATCTGGCTTGGGATGCGGAAGTGCGGGACCGTTCGAAAGCAAACACCTTAAGTCCTGTGAATCACCAAGATTTCCACATGTAAATGTCGCCATTGTGGAGGAGTTGGCTGTGGTGGCAAATGAAGTTGGGATAGAACTAAGAGAGGGGCGGTTGATCATTGGCATTCGGGCATCTGATAGGATAACAGCGGTCTTGCCTACAGCATTAGATGAAGGCATAGCCTCGGGAACCGTGCCAGTTGGTCGGGATCTCCGTGTTTCGGTCAGGCCAATCTGGTTGGAGGCATGGTTGGAATGTTCTGGGCTGGCGCCTCCAGCCGTCTCAGTATGATTCACAGGGGAAGATAGAGTAGGAGCACAAACGAAGCCACCTGAAGCCAAGGTTATGCATAGGAGGAAACAAGGGCATACCGGAAGCAATAATTCACAGCAGGCTAACAAGATAAAATTCAATTTCATTATGGCCAAGCGATCTAACAAAATAATATCCCTAAGATATGAATAAAAATTGGTTTTCGACGAATATCTTAATAGATTGATGTTAGAACGCCTTTCATTTCGTTTGAAAAGGGGGATGTAAATGACTCATAAGTGGAAGCGGGGTCGCCTTGGAGCGAGGACTGTAGATTTATGCAAATAAGTCCTTGGTTCACCCTACCGTGACCTCGATGAACCCTCACTGAGCTTACATTTTTCGTGTGACGAACATAGGATAATTCACAAAAACTTAAATACAAGAAAGTTGGCCGGCTACAAACCTGCCTACTATTATAGCCTAACTTTATCCACTTAATTGGACATCCTATGCCCCTTCTATATGCTTGTTGAAAGTGAAGTGCGTGAGGATGACATGTGAATGGGCTGCAGATTAAGTGTGAAACGGATGCCATTGTGACCAGACAGCTGCATTCTCTACTTAATCGCCTATATTTTTTATTGCAAATGTTTTGTATGCATACAATATTCATGAGATGCGTAAGGTGTGGAAGTGAAAACCAGATTTGAGGCTAATCAAACCTTCTCTTGCTCAGCAATAATTCCCGTTCCCTCGCTCTCTCTCCCCATAAACCTATCTAGAGGCCACAAGTTGTTTCCGCTTAATTTCATATATGCATTCCTTCTATTCAGAGTGTTGGCTGCTTTTCTGATTTATACAGATACCCACTTACCGGTGTAGTCTCCATATCCAGCTAAGCGTCTATCTGGTCTATCTATACCAGTATATCCGATGTCCTGTGTGGGATACGTGTTCGGCCAGTTTTGGGTTTTTGACTCACAAACCTTTCGAAGCTGTTTCATGTTCGGATAACCTCTCATGTAGGAGGCGGCAGGTGCCCCTTCGAATAGACGCTCTCGCATGAACACAAAACCGTATACCAGCCAGATTTGGAGAGAGGATCCATAGCTTCACAAAGGGATAGCAATACTATGGAAGGTGTTGTTTTCTCCTTATAAATTGTCCTGATGTCCCATTTCCTCAGTAATTCGCCTATCTTCTTCGAAAGATGACACAACGATAACATCATGATCCTAGTATAGTCTATATTGCCTCAAATAGGTCTTTTTTCATCCTATTTGCTAGTATTTCAATTGATCCTAATGGATAATTGTTCTCAACTAAAATTTTCCTTAATTGCCCCAATACCTGGTCCCGATGGTTATATCTGCCAGCGAATGCTCCTCCTTATCATGGATATCACAATCACTATTTTAAACCCATAAGTATGGTTTGAAAAGAGATTTTAGAGGAACCCAGAATTTTTGGGCTTAATATAAACATTTCTACCCAATTTGTTCCCCTATTTGCTAACTAAGACATTTAGAAAGGGTATAAAGCACTCATTTTATAATTCCATGACGAACTTGGTCTTCCTGTCAATTCTATTCATTAACATTAGGAAGTCTTCTAGGCTCTTTTTGCCGTGTTGTCAAGGGGCAAAGTAGTCATCCTTGCATCTAACCCATAATTGAGTAACTGAAAGTGCTTCTTGTATTGAGCAACGTTTTGTGTCCGAGCCTATGTGAGAGAGATCTGCAGGCCCCTAAATAAGCGGTTATCTGAACACAACAAAGCCTAAAAAGGTTTGCAGGTTGACAAAGCGGAGTTGGCCGAAAACATAGCTCGTCCAGGACACCAATATATTAATATCAGACCATCCAGTGGTGCAGGATCAATTTTAACCGATAAACAGATGACAAAACCTCATTTTAACGTAGTTCTGACTACTTGGTCTTATTGACTGGAAGACTTTTAAGACTTTACCTTTCCTTGAAAAAGAGGTCATGTGATATCCCAGCCTCGAATCTATGACTGGGTATATTTTCATACTGTTAGCCTGCATTATGCTTGACATTGCCGTTGAAGAAAAGTATGAAAATTGCCAAAACACAATTAAGCAAAATGCCACCTAAATTTCACTCAAATGGATATGTTTTTGGCTGCTAAGAAGACTAATTCATAATGTTTTCGCTATTCATAGTGTTCCTATTAAGTTTAAGATATGGAGGATTTACGGTATCATTTGCCAAAAATGATCTCTAGAACGATTTAGTTTTGATGCATTCCTCTATATTACCATTAAAGGCATTAAGAAGTAATTTGAGTGGACTTTAGGTGACATTTTTCTAAATTGTGTTTTGGCAATTTCCAAACCTTTCTTCAAAGACAATGCCAAGTACAATGCAGGCGAACAGTATGAAAATATACCCGGTCATAGATTCGATGCTGGAACATCACATGACCTTTTCGCCAAATAAAGCAATGAAAGGTACATTCTTAAGAGTCACCCAGTCAATATGACCAAGTTGCCGGAGCGAGGTCAAAATGAGGTTTTGTCACCTGTTTATCGGTTCAATTTGATCATGCACCGCAGAGTGGTTGCCACTAATTAGCATAATAGCATCCTCAAAGCCAAATTAACTGAGTGTGCTTATAAAAGAAGGTTGCGTTTGCATTACACACGTTGAAAAGTGCTTGTTTTCTTCTTTTATAAACACTAAAAGTCAACTTATTATGACTGAAAAGGAGAGAAGGAGTATAAGCTGTGAGATGTTAGACTGATAACGCAGATTTGTTACCAAAATCGCCTGAAGCATTCTCTTGTGCACACTTTCCAGTAAAACAGTTTTGATATTAGTGTGAAACCAATTTTATAGCACAGTTTTTGAATGCAAATTAATAATCTTATTTAAGTATGATGCATTTGTTGGGCTGCTTCCATCAAGAGCTATATACTGATTAACATTAAAAGGAACGTCAGCTTTCTAGTTAGAACATACATCAAGACTCATAGAGGAACGATACAAGTACTGTGAACTGGGAGCTATTGAAATGTAACTTAAGCATCATGAATTAAAGGGCCTCAGAAAGCATTCAAAGATAAGCGTCCACGAATTTGTTTGATAATGGCAAAGTGTGGTCATACGATGCGATGGTTACTCAACAAAGACTAGGCCATTTTATCGTAGGTCGAAAGACTAAGATAGTGTGGCCTTAAGTTTGTCACTTTGATAAGTTGTGACTTTTTGCTAAGGATGGCGCCTCTTCCTGATGATACGAGCTAAAATGTCAGCGAAACGTCTGGTGATGCTGAAAATTATCATGAATACTATGGCAGAGGACTCAAGACTTGGTACGCACCATAAGGTCTCCATGCTGACCAAGTTATGAAAAGGAGGTCAAACCAACATTAGGACATTTTGACATAAGAACTGCATTCGGCATATTTCTTTTAAGGTGATGGATTCAAACTTTCCCAAATGATATGAGTAGGCTTTACGTTTCCATTGACTTCACATGGCAATGCTTGTCAAAAGGTATTCCTATTAAGGCTGAATTGGACCCAGTTTTGGCCTCGCCTAGGTCTAGTCAACACCCAAAGCGGGACTCGAACCCGATTAATTCCATTTATAGTCTCGACACGCTAACTACTACGCCGCATTGCAACTTCTGTACTGCGACCCAAGGGTATTCATGACAGTATGACGTAGTAGTTAGCGTGTCAAGATAATATGCTGAAGTACCCGGGCTCGAGCCCTACTTCGGTATCTGATTAGATCTAGGTAAGGTCAAAACTGCAGTTCATCCTGGGTGCGAATACTTTTTGGGAAAGAGAAATGTGTGAAATTAAATGTAAATGTGATGCCTACTCTAATAATTGTGGGAGAAATTAATTACCAGTCCTTCATCACCTTAAACGAAAATGAGTAAATATAGCTCTTCTGGTAATATCTAAAACCTATGTATTAGGGCATTTTATTTTAAAGTTGCCAATAGACTGAAATGTAAATACCTTGAGTTTTAGTTGATAAGATCTCCATAAAGCTGGAGTACAGATAAGGCATTCAAAACGTAGACAAACTAAAAATTCACTATTTAAACTATGCCTATGGCCACATCCATCAGAAATCGGAGTAACTTCGAGCAACGATCAAAACGTGTAGAAGCATCAACCTAATAAAGTGGCGAGTTTAATGGAAAGAACATGGCTCTCCATTAATGTAATCTTTTATACTATTTATGGGGTTTGAGAAAGGTCTGTCCTGCCTTGAAAATCTTAAAGGTCCTAGAGCAGAGGAAAATGGGAATACATTACAATAAAAGATTTTGCACAGGATCTCCCTTAAGGTACATCTAAAAGGGGTGATAAGAGGGATAATAGGTGAAACCAATGAATGATGAATAAAGCCAAGCCCTAATTATAAAAATGTGTTGGTGTGAGATGTAGTCACCCTATTTCGTTTGTGATGAAGGACTGGTAGTAGAATTTTTCCACATTGATATGAGTAGACCTGGCGCTTCCCTTGAATTGCACATTGCCTTGCTTTCTCAAAAGTTGTTCTCATCCAGGCAGAAGTGGACTGCAGTTTCGACCTCGCATCAGTCTTATCAACACCCCCAGCGGGAGTCGAACCATGACAGTACAGATTGCGAGTTTGACACGCTAACCCCTCGACCACATTAACACGAGTGCCCTTGGGTCACAGGGCAGATGTGAATTTCAAGAAAAGCCAGGCCTTTTGCCATATCATATTCTTTGGTGGGATTGTCGATGAAGCAAACGTATATTCGCTATAACAATCGGCTACATTACTTTATTTTTCGCATTTAAGTATTGTTTCGAGTCTATCAGTAAATCAGTTGTTCTCATATTTGGAAAGCAAGGCATTATGAAATTCAATGGAAACGCCAGCTCTACTCATATCATTGTGGGTAAATTCGTTAACCAGTCCTTCATCACCTTAAACGAAATTGGTTGAATACATCTCATATTGCTGATTTACTGGTAGACTCGAAACGATACTTAAATGCGAAATATAAAAAATATAGCAGCACCTCATTGAAACTTTCAAAAACATCTATGCATGAATGGACTTGAATAGACTATCTTCCTTATTAAGCGTCATCTTAGTTGCTTAAGGCTGTCGAAAATTGAGCCTGTTCCATTTTCCTAAAGTGCTGTATTTGTCAAAACTGAGAACAATGATAAGGAATAAGACCGAATTAAACATAAAAATGGAAAAAGTACTATTGAGATGGCCAAATTTGTATCAATCGATAAGTTTGCAAAAATTTCTGGACATCTGAATGAATATACATCTTAGCCTTCAACCTAAAAACAAGGCAGTCCGAGAAGAAGTGGCCATTGAGATTTTAATATAGAATAAGTTCTATATGAATCTGTTCCTTTATTAACTGTTTGGGTTACAGTAGACCAACTAAGCATAACCTGAAAAATGGCACAATCTCAGAACCTCACCGAAACCCGAGGCACTATCTCCTCTACCAAGCGCCAACTTCTCTTGCACCGCACAGATCAACTAATCAGCCGGTTAACAGATTACCAGGTGCTCAAGGGAAAGACCGCCCAAATGACTGAGTTGGAGATTACAACCGTCTGTGCTCTGGTCGCAGAGGTGTTTGCAGACGAACCGATTGCATTGGATATAAAGCTGGAGAAGCCCCTCTACGTACTGGGAGATATATTTGGCCAATATGGAGATCTATTGAGGATATTTAATTTTCTTGGCCATCCTCCTGCTAAGCGCTTTCTGCTGTTGGGCAATTATGTGGGTAGGAATGACAGGTCAATAGAAACGATATCTCTACTACTCTGCTATAAGCTGAGATATCCAGACAGTATCTTCCTTATTCGTGGCAACCACGAGTGCGAGCATATATCGCGCTTTTATGGCTTCTATGAGGAGTGTATGAAACGCTTCAGTCGCCGCCTCTGGAGGGCCTTCACAAGCGTCTTTGATTTCATGCCGCTGGTCGCCTTTATTGAGGATAAGATCTTCTGTACCCACAGTGGCCTCATGCCAAGTGTTCATTTCTCAGGGATGACAAAGCAACTCGAGATCAAGGACTTCCTGTCGCAGATGATACCGAGACCAACAGACGCCGTGAATAACGTGATTGTACGCAACATCCTGTGGTGCGAACCAGACGTCGAATGCAAGATGTGGGACCGAAACCCAGCTGGTGTCGGTTACCTGTACGGCACTGGGCCAGTAGACAATTTCTGTGAGCGGTTTGGTATTCAGCAGGTTAGAGAGAAACCTAAGGACCAAGCAAAGGCTGTTACTAAACTGATTTTAGAATTTTCATCTACAATAGTATATCCTCATCAGAAATTATTTGTTGATCTGGCAATTTTACAAATTCATATGAATTTTTAACTGAATATAGCCAATAATTGGCAGAGTTCCTTAGTTGTAT